ACCATTCATAGTTATATCCTGACTACACAAAACTAGACAATTCGATTGGAGTGAGTCAATTCGATTGGAGTGAGTTTTACCGACCGACTGGACCAGAAAGCCTCTAGAGTATATACTTCAATTAAATTAATTAATGGTATAAATACACCCCACATGAATTTTCAACCCAACCCAAACATAATTTTTTTTATTTTATTTTTAAGAAAATCAATATTGGTCCATAAATTTAATGATTTTGAATATAAAATTTTCAGATCTCAACAAATGGCATAGTTAAATGTTTCATCTCACCGACTCACCCATGGGCGACGGTGGAAGCACCACCGTAAGCTTTCATGTATATCTGGGTCCCTGCAGGTAAAATAGGAAGTGATAGCACCATAAGCTTTCAGGATTGAGGGTCCCTGCATGCAAAGTATAAGCTTAAGCTCAAGCAGTTCCTCGTCTGTCTTGGAGCTTGTACTCAAGGTTGTACCTCTCGAGGTAAGCTTAAGGTTAGTAATTGGAATGAAAAATGTTCGATATCTCTACTACATACACATCTCCAACAACAAATTTTGATTCTAATTTAGTGAATAAAATCACATTCACTGATACAAACAAAAGTTGATTATTCAATCCTACCTCCCAATGATTGAACTGAAACGAATTCAAAATACAGATATACAAAGAAAAAGTGAGAAAAGGGAGGAAATTTTTCAGAGAAAATGGAAAATGAAGAATCTCTAACAAAGGACTACTGGCTCCAATTTGAATAACTAAGTAACAAAAACACAAAATCAAAGTACCTTTTGATCTTCTTTCATTTGTTCGGCCCTAATTCATCTGTTCTTCTTCTTCATTCATCGATTCCTTTTTTGCCGTTTCTAACTCCTTCATATTGTGCCACATAATTTCTCACCTCTTCTTTAACCATCTTCTGCATCACACACAACAATTCCTCGCCGAAACACGTTCGTTTCCCTTTCTGTTTCTCCTCACTTCTCGGCGATGATGAAATACTCTGCTGCTGCGTTACTGGCCACAGCTCTGATCCTGGAAGCGACAGAGTTAACTGAGTTGACGGCTCCATATCGCTACTCCGAATCGAATCGCTAGTCTCAGATCCAGACGGACTCAAACACTGATTCGATACCGAAATAGTTGATCCTTGACTTGCACAATCGGTTTTCTTCTCCGCAATCGAACAGAACTTCCGCTTCAATGTCGAATTCCAGTGATTCTTAATCGCATTGTCTGTTCGTCCATTGAGAAGCCTCGCGATCGTCGCCCACTTGTTTCCGTATTTGGCGTGGGCTTCGGTAATGACCTCGTCCTCCTCCGCCGTGAAAGCGCGACGCTCTACACCAGGACAGAGCTGATTAAACCACCGCAGACGGCACGATTTTCCTGACCGACCGTGAATCGATTGACTGATAATGGACCAGTTCCGAGCGCCTTGGCTCTGCACTAGCATTCGCAGCATCTCGTCTTCCTCGGGGCTCCATGGGCCCTTGACCCGATCGATGTTCCCCTTCCTAGACCCCATCGCGGATTCGGCTCTTCAGAATCAGAGCGGTGAAATCAACCGTTGAGTTATGAATAACGACAGAAACAGATAGATACAGAATTGTAAACGACGGTTGCGTGCGGCGGAGGAGAGCGGTGCCTCATGCGAGGCGGTTAAGGAATTGAGGAAGAAAAGGGGGAGGGGAGGGTTTATAAACCTAAGGGTTAGGGTAACTGATAGAACCGGTTAACCGACTTCGTTAACAGGAGTCATATCAACCGGCACTGCTGAGTTACAGGTTGCATTGTGTACGGCAGATAACTACCACGCGGCTGCCACGTAAGGGCGTGGATCTTGGGAGATCCAAACTGAAATTAAATGTTCTTTTAAGGAAATAAAAAAAAACGCGGGAGAATGTCTCGGCGACAAGGGAATTTATCGCGATATTTTGAAAGGATAAGTTTTGACGGATGCCAGGCTGGAGTGCATTACGTGTGGGAAACGAATTTTATTTTGATTTTTTTTTTCTTTTTTTTATTCTCAAAATATTTATAGCGAATTTCTAATTTAAGTATTTCCTAATTTATTTAGTATTTTAATTAATGACACAATTTCTTATATTCGAATAAAGTGACCATAATTTTCGGGGAAAGGAACACATTAACCGATTTAAAATATAATTTTAAGTAGAGAATTTAAATTGATTTCATTAATTTAAAATTTTAATTAATACATTTTTCAAAGTTTTAAAATATTAATTAATTTATTTTTTCTTTCAAAACTTGCAAAATTAAAGAAAATAAATAATATAAATAAAAACTAAATAGAAAACATAAAAATGCAAAATAAAATTGGATATAATTTAAATAAATTTGGTGTATTTCAAAAAAAAGAAATATGTGGGGAATAAGAATTTTCGGATCATGAATTATTTAATCGTTATTATTTTCAATTTTAAACTAATTTCTTATATACTTTTTTTATTATTATTTTAATGGCTAAACCATATTTAAATAGTTTTTGTTCAAGTTGAAATATATTTATATTTTTAAACAATATTTTTAAGCTATTATTTTATAGATATAGTTTTTTTTTTATAATTATTTTTTTAGAATTAATTTTAATAACAATTTATGTTAGATTATTACCTATTAACCATGGAATAATTTTATCAAAATTTACAAATTACAATAACAATTTAAATTTATTGTTAAAAATTTGAGATATAAAATTGTTTTCTTTTTCAATTATTTTCTCGAAAAATATTTATTTTTCATTTTTTTTTATTATCATAAACAAAATGTACATCATTGTTATTGAATTTTAAAAAATTTCTATCGAGAGTTTTTCTTTATATACAAAGATAAAGAAATGTTCATTTGGTCGGGACCACCTCTAATAAAATAAATATTTTTCATTTAAAACGATGAAGCAAGTACAGTGAAGAAAAATCTCAGATCGATACACGACAATCTTCTTACCCTCACAGTTCTGTTCCATATCTTTCTCCACTTTACCCTATTAATATAGAGTTGCTGTATAAATATTTTTTTTTCTTTTTCTTTTCATATTATTAACGAGAAGATAAATATATTACTCATCGTTAACTTAAATAACATTAACGTCTCAAGTCAACTATAGCACAATTCACTGCTGAACGTTTATTTTTTTTTAAGAATGGAAGTTTAAATCTTCGCACTCTAAAATCTAAAACGTAATGTTTTAAGAAAGATTAATGGCTTCAATATTTATTTATGTATTTATTCATTACATTATTTTATTAAACATTTAATAATTAAATCAGTTATATTATTAAGTAATATAAGAAAAAATTGACGGTAAATTTATTATTATTTATTTTTTTAATAAAACAATTATTTATGAAAAGTTATTAACGAACGAATTTCAGAAGAGCCCAGCCCAAAAGAAAAAATAGTTAAGAAATAAAATAAATAAATAAAGTTTTTTAATGTTTGATGAAAATTTTGGCGGAGAATTCTTTGTTTCAGTTCTGCAATCTTCATCTTTTTCTCTGCTTTCAATTCCAACGTTTTTCCATTTTCTCTCAAACCCTAACCATGTCCATGGTAGGACCTAATCCTTCTCGTCGCATTTCTGTCCATCAAGCGCTCGGCGGTGGTCAAGGTACTTCCATCTCTCTTCTGCCGTGTTTTGCCATCTTTAGATTTTCGAATTGGTGCCTACATTGATGATTTAGTATTCCTTCCTTGATCTGGGCTTAATTCTTTGATGTTTGGGAAGGGAATTGTTTTGGTCTAATGGCATTTGATTGCAATTTGTACCTGGATTATATGTTTCATTGGGTTGATTCTTTAAGAAATGTTACGATCTTTTTTTTTTTTTTGAATTTGCTGATCTTGTTGTATTCTATTAAGGATATGGTTGGTTTGCTAATCTAGCTATTGATGATAGTGGCTGATTTGCTGTTATGGAATAAATGGTATGGTGGGGTGGTGATGCTCACGACTGCAACTTCTTTCTGGTACCTGTTTGAAAGAGCTGGTTACAACTTCTTATCTTTTGTCGCCAATGTTCTATTGCTTCTTGTCCTCATTATTTTTTTCTGGGCCAAATCTGCTTCCCTTCTCAATAGGTACTTTGATTCCCTTTCTGCCAGTTTCATTTTCTAATCTCCATTTCTTGGGTCGAAGTTTGTGGAGAGTTTATAGTTTTTTGACGATGATGAATCAAAAGTAAATAATATACATTGTAAGAGAGGAACCATTTCATCGTATCAACCTGAGCATAGCTTGTCTAGCTACGGAATTACAACCTTGACATCCATCTCATACTATGAGATGGTAGTTCTCAGGATTTCAAATAAATATTTCAATACAAACTTGGGATTTTTTGAATTTGAAGAGAATACCATATTTCTAATTTGTTATTAGAAAAGTAAGTATGTGGATTTTTCGAGATAATATTACTTAGATTGACTTGATTTCGGTTAGTTCTGATCAAATATTCACATTCTCAATGTATGAATTGAAATCGACTTAGAGTTAAAGTTACCTTCCTTTGTGATTCAGACCTCTACCTCCGCTTCCTGATCTGGAAATTTCTGAGGAAACTGTTTCAGTGGTTGCTGATGAACTGCGACTGTGGGTCAATTTTGTACTGTCAATTGCACGTGATATTGCAATAGGCAGAAACTTTAAGCTCTTTCTTCAGGTTAGGGATCATCATTTGTGTCTTTCTCTGTGATAACTGGGACTTGTGAGTTAATGAAATCATGATCTCAGGTTGCTCTTGGACTGTGGTTTGTGTCATTCATTGGCAGTTTCTTCAATTTTCTTACACTGGTTTATATTGGTGAGTTTTGTGGGGCACTCATTTCTTTGTAATCAGCAGTTCAAGTATCATAGTTGTTTTCTGAAACAGTTTATGCATTTTATCAATATATTTTTGCAGGTATCCTTCTCAGTCTTTCCGCTCCTTTAGTGTATGATAAGTATCAGGATCACATCAATGAAAAGTTATGTGTAGCACATAGATACGTACAGATGCAATACAGGATGTTTAACGAGAATGTTCTAAGGAAGTTACCATTACCCTTAAATAAGGAGAAGAAGATGCAATAGGCATAGTACCTCACTCGATGATCAGTAACTTCACAAGAAGTGAGCTGGATTACATTTTTCATAATGTTTAACTCCATTTTTGTATTCTGACGTGAACTGTAAATATTATTTCAGATCAACATATTGATTATTATGTACTGATATTGTAATGTCTTGTTATTTGTTCACTTTTTTGTTTTTTCTTTCCTTAAATCATCAGTTCATTTCTTTCTGTTGTAATCTAAATGCCACCTACTCTTGATGAAGGATTGTTAGATCTTAAAATTTGTGAATAACTTCTGGTAGTTTGTGAAAGTTTATTACTTCTTAAGTTTTTATGTTCTACATATTAACATCTCATAAGATTTCACAAAATTCTGATCGCTTAGTTTTCCACTTTTTATCTGACTTAACAGCTGATTAATATATTATATTTCAAATTTTCATCTTTTATCTGACTTTCTTTGGTTTTACTTGCTACTTTGAAGTATGCAGGGGCAGATTGGCTGGCTTTTTCAACAGGATGATCAGTATATCTGAAGATTTGATCAGAGGCATTGAGATTTCTTTTAAAAGAGATGAACTTCAGAATTCTAGATCTCTTAGAAAGTTGTGGTATATAGTTTAACATAGATGTATTCCGACTTTGACTGAAGGGTGAACATTGAAATCAATATTGTTTGATTTTGCATTGAAATGGTGTCTTGGCTACTTTGGTTTCACACTCCGGGTTCTGTAATTTTGATTTTGGCAATTATCCTTTGTTATTTGAACCTAATGAAAATAAATTTGCATAGATTAGAAGCTTTCTTCAACTTTTGCAATTTAGTTTTTCACAAAGATTTTTGTGATGAGGTTTTTTTTTGGTTTACTTCGGATTTTATCATATTCTTCTGTGCAAATACTTTAACTTAGCTTGAAACCTGTTGTAATAGAATGTTTTTATCCAGGGCTGTCGTGAAAATGAGAAGAACGAAGACAAAAGTGATTTTTCTTCTTCTTTTCAATCTTAATATGTTGCTTAGGCTGATTAGTTAATTTGCTTGTCAGGTGTAATGACAGAGAAAATGATCCATCTCATGAAAAGCAGATGTAAGTTTCTGAACCTCACTTTTAAGGTAAAATGGCACACATCTAGGAGAGTAAAAAAAAAACTATCAAAGACTCGCATGGAATAGAGAAATTATTGTTACTGGGATACATCTGCACCAAAGCACATGTGATTTTGTCCCCTGGTTTGTATGGGGTTTTGCTATATATTTATTTAAGCTGTCCAAATCACTCACGGTTCTTTATAAAATTCTCAAGTGCATCTTAGCTATGACTATATATATAAATATATGTATCTGCAAAGTTACTAGTACCAGCACATGGTTTGTGCCGAACCATAGGAAGCAAAAAAGGAAACAAAGGCCAAATGGATAGAGCATTTATTACTTTATGGGGGTGTTGGTTTTTTCGATTGGCTTATTAAATTAGAACAATGTTATGTCATTGTTAATCTTACAAGTTACGTAAGTTTAGATTCTTGCAAGCCTACTTTTAAGACAGATCTCAAGCTCATAAATCTATTTCAGATGTCGTGTAGAGACTTTTGAAACTCATTCATTTGTACAATCCAAGCACTTTTAATTCTTACACTACAAACTTAGGTCTTCTCACTCCAGATTATGGATCTAGAAAGTGTATTTGTGCACTTAGAAAGTCATTACCAAATGGGCTCTTAGATTACACCAATTGGGATTTCCTTACAGGAAGCTTGTGCAGGTTAATTCATAAAGGGAATAAGATTGTTGGAGAAAAGTGAATTTGAAGCTGATTGTTTGTAGCAGGGATAGGGATCATTGTACATGCTTTGTTCAAACTCTTTTTAGATCCAAAGGACGAAAGCTGAAGACAAAGGGGATGCATGCATGCGTCTATTAGGGAGACCAATTACTTGCTGGAAAACAGGTTTCCATTTATATTCAGTTGCTGAGATTATTTTGATCGCTTTCAAATCATTCTCTGTTCTCAGATCAAATTCTAAATAAACTTATACAATCCATGCTTGCCTTTGATTGTTCGAATGTGAATGAAAATTGATTTGTTGTAGAATTGAAAAAGAAAAAAAAAATTACTCTTATGTTTACCGATACTATTTGAAGTACAAATTGTCTTAGCGTAAAATATATTTTTGGTCCTTGTACTTTAAACCTCATTTCATTTTAGTCCCATCACTTTCAAATATTTTAGTTTAGTCCTTATATTTTCAATAAATCTTAAAATTAGAGTAGTTTTTTTTAATTAAAATTTGTTAGATAATCATAATTTGTATGTAAAAGAGTATGAACATATTTGTTGAGAAAGAGAAGATCTTGCCAGGGAAACTTTGGCAATGCAATGTGGGAATCAAGTGTTTGGTGGTGGGGTGGACCTTGGCTAATACCTTCTTTCCTATATATGTATACGTATTTATGCATATGTATGTGTATATATATATGTATATGTATATGTAACATCTTTTCAAGGTCCATATTTTCTTGAATTTGTTTTGGACAAGAACTTTTTTGCATTTGAATGGTGAGTGTTTGTTAGATTTTGCAAGTATTTGTTTGAACACATTTTTGAAGATCAAGAAGATGAAAAAAAATTGAAATAATTTCAATGAAAATGTCAAAGTTTCGATGTTTAAATTTGTGAGTGAGATTTGAATCACTAACTTTTAAAATTTTATTTAGTATTTTATCTACTAAACTATTTTTGAATTGACTCGTGTTTCTATAATTCATAGTAGAGAAAAAAGATGATTATATTTATTAGTACGAGACCTTTTAAGTAAAATGTAGAAGACTTATGCCTCAAATAGTTAATATCATGTAACGGCTATTTATTTATGATCTTAGAAGCATTGTGATACCTCTCCCACAAAAGAACATAAAAGGAATAACTTTTAGATCTTTTCCACACATCCTTTATATGAATTTGACCATATCCCTACAAAAAAAAGCTTTGTATGAGAAATTGTGAGGAAATATATATTATTTAAGAAAAAGATTTTGTCTGTATACCTTTGAAACTGTACCAAAAAGGTATCAAAATTGGGACATTGTTTTGTGGGTGTGATCAAGTTTGTCTAGGAATTCCCACTATCACTTTATTTTATGCCTTCCCTTTATTTCTTTTTTGGTCTTCATGTTTACATATGATAATATTACAAACTTCCCATCTCCCAATGCCCAATGGAGTCTGTTCATATCTTTGAGAGTGCCCATAACTTATCATGCATTCATAAATTTATAAATTGATTTGAAGTATTTTCGTGACCATAGGATACACTGATATAGATGGATGTTATGAATAGAATTGATGTATTGTTGGTTGGATTTGAACGGATCCCAATTAGTAAAAAGGTTGGAGGTTCGAATTCCTTCTTATTAAGAAGCGGATGGTGATTTTAGGGAGCCTCTCTTTAAGACCATGCTTAAGACGTTATGCTTTTCGTGCAGGTTGGAACTTAGGAACGAGGAATTTCGCTACTTTTGTAGGTTAGGGCTTTAGGTAAACTAATCACTGTGCTGCTCTCATTCTCCCTCTGTTTTCCAAGAGACTGTTCTTCACATCCTGAATACACTTTCCTTGGCTGACCCCATTTTCAAGATTCCTCCACTGTCTCTGTCTCTGTCTACAGATTTGGTAAAGCCAAGGAGTTAAGTTCAGTGGGTCTCTTTCAGCTTCCCATCTCCTTCTTCCTTCTGATGGAAATGATTTTGTTATAGAACCCAGAAATATGATGCAAGATCTGTTGCAGAACAGGAATCCATGGAGCTTCTTCGATGCCACTTACAAGGCTCTGTTTTGGAGCTTCACTTTCTTTTTCCCTCTCCTTCATTTTCCCTCTTTTGCTCTTAACAGCGATGGCGCCCTCTTGTTGTCTCTCAAACGCTCCATTCTCGGCGATCCCTTGTCTGTTTTCGCGAATTGGAATGTTTATGATGCGACACCCTGTTCTTGGCATGGAGTCACCTGCACCGACCTCCGTGGCTATGGCGGCGGATGGCCGGATTTGCTCAGAGTCACTGCCGTCTCACTCCCTGGCAGCCAGCTTCTGGGTTCCATTCCTGATGAGCTTGGAAGGATCGAACACCTTCGTCTTCTTGATCTTTCCGGTAATTTCTTTAATGGGTCTCTCCCGGTTTCCATTTTCAATGCTTCGGAGCTTCAGATTCTTTCTCTTTCGAACAATGTAATCTCCGGGGAGTTGCCGGCGGAATTTGGGGGTTTGAAGAGTCTTCAGGTTTTGAATCTGTCTGATAATGCGTTGGCCGGGAAATTGCCGGGAAATCTCTCTGCTTTGAAGAATCTCACCGTCGTTTCTCTGAGGAGTAATTATTTCGCCGGAGAGATTCCTGGGAATTTCAGTTGGGTTGAGGTTTTGGATTTGTCTTCTAATTTGCTCAATGGGTCTTTGCCGGCGGATTTTGGTGGGGAGAAACTACGGTATTTGAACTTCTCTTACAATAAAATTTCAGGTCCCGTTCCACCGGAGTTCGCGAAGTGGATTCCGGCGAATGCGACGATGGATCTCTCTTTCAACAATCTCACCGGAGCGATTCCTCAGTCGGCTGCTCTGCTCAGCCAGAAAACAGAGGCGTTCGCCGGAAATGAAGATCTCTGTGGGAAGCCATTGAAGCACCTCTGTTCGATTCATTCCTCTCTAACAACTCCCCCAAATGTTTCTGAAATTTCATCTTCTTCTCCGGCAATCGCCGCCATACCAAAAACAATCGTCTCTATTCCAGCAACAAAGTCCCCCGGAGGTCCGAACGGGACGCAAACTTCTCAGCCGCAAAACACCATGAAACCCATCACAATAGCCGCAATTGCGGTCGGAGACCTTGCTGGAATCACCATTCTGGCCATCGGGATTCTCTACGTCTACCATCACCGGAAACAAACAAATCCAAATTCCAAAACCTCCAAATCCGCCGAGAAGAAGCCGCCGATTGGCTCAGACCAAGACCACCAAAACAACCAAAGAAAACCCTCATCGGCGTTGTTCTGTTTGGCCAACAAAGGAGAAGATACATCGGAGGCGACGAGTTCTTCCGACGGCGAAGAGCAGAGGGAGAAATCCGGAGCAAACCACGGCGGAGTGAACAGAGACAGTGAGAAAAACGGCGTGCTGGTGACATTGGACGGAGAAACAGAGATGGAATTGGAGACATTGTTAAAGGCGTCAGCATATATACTTGGAGCAAGCGGCGGAAGCATCGTGTACAAGGCGGTGCTGGAGGACGGTACGGCGTTCGCCGTCAGAAGGATCGGCGACGTCAACTTTGAGAGATTGAGGGATTTCGAGGCGCAAATGAGAGCCATTGCTAAGCTCCGACATCAAAATTTGGTGAAAATTCGCGGGTTCTTTTGGGGAGAAGATGAAAAGCTCATAATCTATGATTACGTCTCCAATGGCTGCCTTGCAACCTCCCTTCACAGTAAGTTTATTGTTCTAATTAATTTTATACTAATTTAATTGTACTATTTCCTCATGATTTTTCTATTTAAATTAATGAAATGAATTTATTAATTCAGAAAAACCGAGTTCATCGTCTTCTTCCCATATCCATCTATCATTTGAAGTCCGACTGAAAATCGCAAGAGGAATCGCCAGAGGAATGGCCTTCATCCACGACAAGAAGCACATCCATGGCAACCTGAAGCCTTCCAACATCCTGTTAAACGCCGACATGGAGCCCTTAATCACCGATCTCGGCCTCAACAAGCTCCTCTCCCGCAGTTCCAAGATCGCCTTCGCCTCCACTTCATCCCGGAACTTCGGCAGCCACAGATCCACGCCGAATCGCGATCACCATGACGGCGGTGGTGGAGGGAGCCCCGCGGTGAGCGTGGGATCGGCGTACCAGGCGCCGGAATCGCTGAAGAATCTGAAACCGAGCCCTAAATGGGACGTGTACTCGTTCGGGTTGATTCTGGTGGAGCTTCTGAGCGGGAAAATTGTGAGGGAGAGGGAGGGCGGCATTGAAGACGAGGGGCGGATGAAGAAGATGGTGGATCCGACGATTAGAGGGGAATTGGAAGGGAAAGAGGAGGCGGTAATGGAGATTTTTAGATTAGGGTTTAGGTGTGCTTGTTTTGTGCCTCAAAAGAGACCCACCATGAGAGAGGCTGTCCTAGTTCTGGAAAAAATTTGTTCTTCCTAGAGCTAATTGATTTGATCATGGGGTTTCTTCTATTTCTCAGCCTCCATCCTTTTTCTCTTCAACTTTCCCAACCATTTCTAACCTAAAAAATAAAATTTAGGTTCCGTTCAGTTTGATTTTGATTCATTTTTGTAAGAGTTGTTTGAGTTGAAAAAATTAGAATTCGAACCATTGGGTTTGTCTAAAAAAAATGTTTTAATCCGACCCAACTCAAAAATACCTCTAGTTTTATTCATTGATTAGTAGTATTCTATTTTCGTTTCAATGGTCGTAGCCTTGAAATTTTAAATGCGACTACTAGAGAGAGACTTACACGCCTTTATAAGGAGGAATCTTCGTTTCCCTTTTTAAACATGTCTACCGGTGAGAGATTTTCACGTATCTACTAGGAAGAGGATTCCATGCCCTTATAAGCCCCTTTATAAACGTGTCTATTTTTACGCCCTTTAGGTCTTTTATAAACATGTCTACTAGGGGGAGATTTTCACTTGTCTATTAGAGAGAGACTTCCACGCCCTTATAAGGAATTTTGTTTTCCTCTCCCACCAATGTGGAATCTCACAATACACCCCTCTTAGGGACCCAACGTCTTCGGGCATATCACCCAATGACTGACTTTGATATCATTTGTAACCGCCCTAAGCCCACTGCTAGAAATATTGTCGCTCTTTGGCTTGTTACGTATCGTCATCAATATCTAGATTTTAAAACACATGTAATAGAGAGAGGTTTCACACCTTTATAAAGAGTGTTTTGTTTCTCTCTTCAACTAATGCGGGATCTCACACTCTCACGTCACCGTTGTTACAAAGAGGGAGAGAACACAAGAAATATTTCATACTCTTCTCCAACCGACGTGAGATCTCACACCTTCATACACCATTATTATAAAGAGGACGGAAACAGTTATTTCATCTTATAAGTATACATTTCTATACGAGTGGTTTGCAAGACAAGGGTCCTATAAATTACTCTTATCTTATGTGAACACTCATTTGAAAGAGGTACCACTCCCAAGTCCAACGCTTTCAACCCAATGACCTTCGTGGCCCAACCCTACTTCCTTTTTAAAAACCCTAAACCCTAATCTTTAAAATACCCATATAATAAACTTTAGAGTAAATCTAATTTCATTTCATTTCATCTTCATATCCACTTTATAAAAGTATTTTTTTTTTTTTTTTAAATCTAATAAAGACAACAGAAAAAGTGGAGAAAAAAATGTCCTTAAACCAAAAAGGACAAAACCGAAATTTCACCTTTTTTCTTTTTTCTAAATACAATTTTAACTTCACCACAAAAACCATTAAATATAAATTCTTTCATTATTTAAGTTTCTTTATGACGTCATAATACCTTTATTTACTTCTTAATTTGAATAAATATAAATGGAAGGTTAGTAATTTGTTACATGCTTTCTCACTAATAAATAATTCCAGCTCAGCATGAAACTTGCGGCTATTAATTTTTTAATTTTTTCAATTTGTGCAAATATAATTAGGAAAATTCTTTAATTTTCCTAAAAATCCAAGTTTTCTTTAATTATTTTTTTTAAAAAAAAATATTGGATAAATTAATCATTATTGCTGAATTAATAATATTTTTAGAAGAAACAAAGCGGATCCTTCAAAGGAACCAAACATTTAATCCTATTTTTAAGTAAATCCAAGAATTTATCGACCGTTCATTTTGATTATTTTAATTACTAATTTTGCGTTAAATAATCCAAGTTGCTTGCAGTTTAAGGCAGCTTCACCAAACAAATTCCATTTCCCAATTCCCCACTCTCATCACAAGCGCGTGTTTTGCACGTCATTGCCAAACATATATCCGACGCTCTGTTTCCATCCACTGAGCTTAAACCTCTTTCCTTCTTTCCTGTTAAACCCTAGATCTTCCTTGTCCTCTCTCCGACCTCCGTTGTTCAGCCGGTGGTTTTTTCATTCCGACGAGAAATGGCTACTTTCGCTTCGTTTACGCTCCGCAGGCCGGCGCTTGGGAACTCGGTATTTTCTTCTCTGTCTTCTAAAATTCCTGTTTCTTCCGCTTTTTCTGTTGATCTTCGTCGACGGAGTGTTGGCGCGTCGCGGTTTGTGGTGTTGGTTTCTGCGTCTATGGATGCGAAGCCGACGGTTCTTGTTGCGGAGAAGCTGGGTGAAGCGGGTCTTGATCTTCTAAAGGATTTTGCTAATGTTGATTGCTCGTATAATCTGAGTCCTGAGGAGCTTTGCACCAAGATCTCTCTCTGTGATGCGATTATTGTGCGGAGTGGGACTAAGGTCAGCCGTGAAGTGTTTGAATCCTCTGGAGGGAGGTTGAAGGTCGTTGGGAGGGCTGGTGTTGGCATTGACAACGTGGATCTGGCGGCTGCCACTGAGCATGGTTGCTTAGTGGTGAATGCTCCGACTGCAAACACGGTAGCCGCCGCTGAGCACGGAATTGCGCTTTTGACTGCAATGGCCAGAAATGTTGCTCAAGCCGATGCGTCTGTTAAAGCTGGTACGTTTATTTTTTGGTTTGTCTGTCACAATCAGCTTGTCTAATCGTGGTGTCTTTTAGCCTGTGGTTTGCTTTGGATCTGCTCGAAACCATGGAAAGTGGAAAAACTTCGGAAAGATCTCGGCCTTTTATCTTAATATTGGACGAGCATTTCATTTAAATCTGTCTGAAAAGAATTATTTTAATGTCTAAAGCGAATTGCCCTAAAAAAATTCCCCGTACGTTTTCTTTCTTGTAAGCATCGATGCGCGCTGTAAAAAGTGGAAACCTGTCGGGGATTTTTATGTAGAAAATTCATATCTTATGCTTACTTAGGTTGGGATTTACGATTTGAAGTAAAAATAGCAAAGAATAAATAATCTCTCTGCATCGGATGTTCTCTTTCCCTTTTGGAGCCCGTCGACGTTTTTGATGGTCAGATTTATTGGATGTGATGTTCTATACGAGATGCCTTTGTTGAAACGAATTACTTAAGATTTTTACATTTTCTTCTCCACCGCAGGAAAGTGGCAACGCAACAAATATGTCGGTGTCTCGCTTGTGGGGAAAACACTGGCTGTGATGGGATTCGGCAAAGTCGGAACTGAAGTTGCTCGGCGGGCAAAGGGACTTGGCATGCATGTAATTGCACACGACCCATATGCCCCAGCTGATCGTGCTCGTGCGATAGGCGTAGAGCTTGTGAGCTTTGACGAAGCCATTGGAACTGCTGATTTCATCTCTTTGCATATGCCTTTAACTCCAGCCACGTCAAAGATCCTTAATGATGAAAATTTCGCAAAGATGAAGAAAGGAGTAAGGATTGTGAATGTCGCCCGTGGAGGCGTAATTGATGAAGAAGCTCTTGTAAGGGCGCTAGATGCTGGAATTGTTGCTCAGGTTGGTTCTTTTTATTCCTGCTACCCAAACTTGAAGTTTCTAATTATCATTAAACGCAAGGATTGTTTCACGTTTCTTTTTCTGATAGGCTGCACTTGATGTTTTCACCGAGGAGCCACCTCCTAAAGATAGCAAGTTGATTCAGCATGAGAATGTCACTGTAACTCCTCATCTCGGTGCCAGCACAATGGAGGCTCAGGTCTGTTTTAAATCGAACGACTTAAAGCTTGTGCTTTCCTTATTGTAATTTATAATTATCTTTGCATCTGGTGGTACATGCAGGAAGGAGTTGCTGTTGAAATAGCTGAAGCTGTTGTTGGAGCCTTGAAAGGGGAGCTTGCAGCTACTGCCGTCAATGCTCCGATGGTTCCTGCAGAGGTAGAAGCCCGTAGTTTCGAATCTTCTATCACTCTCATGTTTCGTATTTCATGATCACTTAAACATCTATCTGAAGTACTTCCTTCTAGTTCTGTTCTTGTCGACCTCTTTACTATTTGTCGTTAGTTGTTCTATTGATTTTCTTGCATTCCCAAGTGGCTATGTCTCTAGGTTTTCTGGTTCCTTATGCTATGCAACAGAGTAAGATTCGCCGAATTTTTTTAAAGCTGAATATAGTCCTGCTAAAAATAAAAAAAGAAAGAAGCTAAATTGTAGTCCTCCAACAGTTAAGAGAGATTGCTTTTCTGTTAACATTTTGGTCTTGTGATGATTTTCAGAAACCTGTTTAATATAGATGGTTCTGAATGCTACCAAAACCTTACTTCCAATTGTAGTGTACTGCCTCTCTATAAAATGGATGACTTTTATATTTCTTCTCCAATTCGTTACTTTGCCGTACATCATCAAGGTTTGCTGAGTGATAGATGTGACCTTTAATTATTCATTGTACATTCTATTTTCAATGAACTAATTCTCAAGTTTTTGGTATATAAAGGTTCTAACAAAGTATCGTTTCTCCCCTACAGGTGTTAACGGAGCTGAAACCATTTGTTGAACTTGCTGAGAAATTGGGAAGGCTGGCTGTCCAATTGGTAGCAGGAGGAAGTGGTGTGAAAACTGTGAAAGTAACATACGCTTCCTCTAGAGCTCCTGATGATCTTGACACCAGGCTTCTTCGTGCCATGATAACCAAAGGTCTCATAGAACCAATTTCCAGCGTTTTCGTGAACTTGGTGAACGCTGACTTCACCGCCAAACAAAGAGGACTAAGGATATCCGAGGAGCGAGTTATTCTGGATGGGTCGCCCGAGAAACCATTAGAGTACATACAGGTCCAGATTGCCAACGTGGAATCCAAATTTGCCAGTGCTATATCGGATTCTGGGGAGATAACGGTGGAAGGACTTGTGAAAGACGGAATCCCTCACCTCACAAAGGTCGGGTCTTTCGAAGTCGATGTTAGTTTGGAGGGTAGCATCATACTCTGTAGGCAGGTTGACCAGCCAGGTATGATTGGAACGGTTGGAAGCATTCTCGGAGAAGAAAATGTTAATGTGAGCTTCATGAGTGTTGGAAGGATTGCTCCTCGAAAGCAGGCTGTTATGGCCATTGGTGTCGATGAACAGCCCAGCAAGGAATCCTTGAAGAGGATCGGTGATGTTCCAGCAATTGAAGAGTTTGTTTTCCTCAAGCTGTAGAACTTTATGTGGT